AGGGGGGGGGGGCCGGGCGGGTTGGCCGGGAACGCCGATCATCCTGTCCCCTTCCTGGGGCTCGGCCGTCCCGGTGGAATCGCAAATGGTGTCCCGCCGGAAGGGGGGGGGGAGGCCGGGAGGGCAGATGTTGGCCCGGAGATCGGAAACCAGTTTGCGGGTCATGCCCGACGCCCCCCCCCCCCCCCCCCCCCCCCCCCCCCACGCGAACATCCCAGGGGGTGGGCTGGGCCGATTCCCCGGGCAGCCTCGTCTCCCGCCATGTAACACCGGCGATTGGGTGCGATATTACCTTCATTTATATTGCCTTCCCTTTCCCATCGCCCTGCAATAGGCCCCTTTCTCCGCTGGCGAGGTCGCCCATGCCGGCGGGGTGAATGGGGCCTCCGAAGGGGTCCCGGCCGCCCGGAGGCGCACACCGAAGACGGTCGGGAGAAAAATTCCCCCCCCCCCCCCACCCCCCCTAAAGTACTAACTAGCAGGCACCAGCGCCCCCGACTACCCCCCGGCGGGGGGGGGGGGGGGGGGGGGGGGGCCGGGGGGGAAAGAAGAGCCGGGGGGGCGGGGGCCGGGGGGCCCCCCCCCCTTTCGGGTTTTGGCCGGCCCCGCGCCCCCCGCCCCCCCCCCCCCCCCCCCCACCCCCCCCCCCCCCCTTTCCCCCCCCCCCCCCCCCCCCCCCCCCCCCCCCCCCATGATGCTCCTGTCACTCGCAGCATTGGCGATTTCGCATCCCAGAACAGCCTGGTTAGCATCTCGTACAAGCTCTCCGAGCCGGCTGTTAACATGCGCACCATCCTGCGCATCCTGGACCCGTCTGGCAATCGCCTGCATCTGCGGGAGGATGCCCCGCCGTCTGGGGATTTCACTTTCGCCACGCTGGACCCCCATGGCGCCTTCGAAGCCTGCTTCATGAATGTCGGCGACAGCCGTGCGTCTCGCTCTTCCCCCGTGTGGCTGCGGGCGCGAGCCTCCCCGGCATCCTCTGCCAGCCTTTTTTTTGCCTTTTTTTTCTGCGAGGCAACAGATGTCTCATCAACTCCCACTCACCTGCCTCTGCTGCACATGCATCGCCCGATCCTGCGGCCACAGGCGCCAATCGCCGGGCATCTCCGCAGCCCCGCTCGGTGGTTCTTGATGTGCGTCGATTTTCAAGCAGCCTGCCGACGATCTTGACACATGCCTCGCCTGGCAGCAGTCGTCTGACGCATTTGTCTCCTGCTTCCCTTGCCCTGCCCCCTCCCTCGCGGGCATAGATCCGCACGGGTCACGAAACCAACGACTACGACATGGGGATGGACGACCCGGAGTCCAATCGCGAGCTGCTCACTCTGCGCACCGCCGAGCAGACCATCCGCCAAGTTCTTGACATCAGTGAGAACATCCGCGACGAGATGACCTACATTCGCTCGCGCGAGGCCCGTCTCCGCCGGACCAATGGTGCGAACTGGCTGGGCGCCGTTTAGCAGGGAGGAACATTCTCTGCTTGAGATGGGGGGGGGATTCCCTTTTGTCGCATGTTTCACCTACTCAAGGACGCTATCTGACACAATCTGCCCCTTCTCCGGCGGAACTGCTTTCCCCCTCCTGGCCCGCCACGCACGGACACACCCACACGCAGAGTCCACCTACGACCGCGTCAAGTGGTTCGGCTACTTCTCGGTCCTGGTCATGATTCTTCTTGGTGTGTACCAGGTGTCGCAAGTCCGTAGCTTCCTCCGCAAGAAGAAGGCCATCTAAGGACACAGGACCCCTCCTCCGCGCCCTCCCCCCCCCTCCCTTTCCATCTCCGCCCAAGTGCCCCATACTCGTGGACACAAACCCATGCATGCATGCGTGCGCCTTCTGTCTCGCGGCTACGCGGCCCCCTTTTCACGTCCTCCCTGAAGAGGTGTCCCCCGTCGACCGTGAGGACTCCTCTTGACATCAGAAAAAAAATAAATCCCTCCAAAGCACCCGGCGCACGAGCAGAGCAAGCACAGCGCATACATGCGCGCGCGAACACACGAGGGGGGATCAGCACAGCGAAGGCCGGAGTGGCCCACTCCAAACTGCAAAAGAACCAGGAGGGGATGGGTGTACCTGCCTACACCCATCAAGGGGAAACACCCATGACAGGCGTACAAAGCACACTCAGACACACACACACACGCACGCACGCACACGGACACACTGCGCCACCCCGCCTGTCACGAAGCACGACAAGTGAAAGACGTCGCTCTTTGGCCCTGGCCGCGCCCGGCTGACATTTTCGTGGGACACATGCACGCGCATGCTGGCCCTCCCGCCCCCCCCCCCC